GGGGCGTTCAGGTCCCTGCCAGACCGCAGCTCCATATGTCTCCTTTTTTGGTATTTTCACGGAAATTCTTCTGCTAGTTGGGGTTTAGTCTACTTCTGTTTCCTTCCCTTCAAGGCTCAGGGGTTCAAGATTATCTTCTGTGTCTGTGTCAATTGGTTTCCCTTTTCTTTGTTGAAGAGGGTCTGTGCAGTCCTTCTGCCTAATCCACCATCTTGCCCGAACTCTTGCTTTTAATCTTTGTTAGATGGAACCAGAATAGCCTTTAGTCTAGAACTCATTTTTCCTTAACACTGAGGTAAACCCTTTGGAGCATGCTACTCAATGTCCTGTGAAGTAATAAGGTTTTCAGCTTTGACTGGTGGGAACAGGCACTACGTTCTACCGTATATAAACTCTAGGTAAAGTTCCTTCGAGTCTTTTCAGATGGTTTTTTCCCCAGCTTGGGGGAGTTTCCTCACACATAAGCCCTGATCAGGACTTAGCTGAATATAAGAGGACCGTTAACAGTAGCTCTCTGGATTTTGTCGCTGTGGAGATCTGTCTTCTCGTATACTCTGCCCTGTGAGTTCTAGCTACCTTGGATTACTTGAACTCCCTGTGTCATCCCTTCAACTTAGGGGGACCACTGGTCTCCACTTTGCATCTTGGCTTGGAAACTCTCTCTAAGCAATAAACTGCAGCAGTTGTGGGGATTGCTTTAATTGTTTTCTATCTTAGGGATCACTGTCTTCCTCATTGCCTAATGTTTAGTATGTTCAGACCACTTTTCTTGTACCTTGTCCAGTGTTTTAGGTTGGGGGGAAAATCTACTTCCTGTTGCTCCATCTTGATCACAATCAGAAGTCCCTGGTTTTTATTTGAAAAGAATAAATTTGTATTTTAAAACTGTATTTCAGAAATTAGATTTTGCTATTTCATTATATACCACTACCCCTAGTTACTACCACTGTTAACAATTTATTGTTGTTTTTATCATTCCATTTCTTATTCTCCAAATAATTTAGCTGTTAAATAAAGATAGACACCTCCCAACTAAAAAGAAAATCTGTTCTTAAAAAAAAATCAAGTTTTGAAATTATTTGTTGTAAAGGTAATATTTATATATATAAACATTATATACTGCCCTTCCACTAGCCACTCCTCGAAAGGAAGGTTGGACAATATACTTCCCTAGTGATAGTGCCTTGGAAACCCAAGGAGGGGTCGGTATGAGTTGGATCCAACTCCATGGCAGTGGGTTTGGTTTTTGGTTTTGGTTTGTATTGTTGAAAAGCATTGCTGTAGGGGAGATGAGGAGAAATACAAGGTAATTTAGTCTGAGATGTGCTAAAGGAAGAAAAACTGACATACCCATTTTATAACTGTTGTATTCCCAGTTTGGTAAATAAATATTTTCCACAGATATTTATAGTTTATTTTTTGTTTTCCAGATAATCAAGCAAAAGAAAGATGAGCTTCATCTCTGTACTTCAATCTGCTACAAGAAACTGTGTTTTCTTTAGATTTAATTCACTGACCAGTTGGAGAAAATATAACACATTAACTGTAAGCTCCCAGGGCTGTCATCGAGTACAAATGAACCGTATAGTAAATAAGTATCAGGGGCTGAGTGTAAATCAGTGTGATTGGTTTGCTTTTCAGCCTGGCAACTTTCATTTTTATAAGACTTTTGTTAACAAAAGAACAAGATGCATCACAAGTACCAAAAGTAAGGAAATTTGGAGGATTACTTGCAAACATACTGCACGGAATGACTTTTTCTCAAGACAGCTATTGATGAAAGAAGCTGCAATACTTTGGGATTTTTCAGTATTGTACCCTCTGAAGTGTTTTTCCATAAAAGAGATAAGAAGTTTCCACACTTCTCCACGTTTTCAAGCTGCTCCAGTTCCTCTGTTGTTGATCATTCTTAAGCCTTTGCAGAAACTACTTGCAATCGTTGTAGGCAGGTAAAATACATTTGAAAAAACAAACTTTTGTATTAAAAGGTATTTGTAAAGTTACACTTCACACCCCTGGCACATTTAGCTCAAAATTAGGTTTCTAAACAGTTTGGTTCTACCCAGTTTTGTAATGTATTATTTAATAATTTTGAAACACTTTATAGTACTTTATAATGTAGAAATGTGATCTTTAATGAATTATGTATATTTTATAGGAATTTTTAAAAACTTGATCTTATATTTATGATTATAAGAAGAATCAAAAATGTTGGTTGTAACTCATGTTGAAGAACATTACTTACAAACACTCCTTTTCAGTTTGGAATGTGAAGCAGCGAGTGACGAAGCCAGCATCTCTTGATGCTCATTTAGGAACAGGCTCACTCCTAGCCAACTTAACTCTTACACCGTTAATACTTTTTTCCCCCTTATTCTATTTCCAATAGCTCTTTGTAGTCCTTTAATAATTAATATTTTTACTGCTAAACAGTACTTTATATTTAACTTAGTTCCTGTCCCCTTAATACCCATATGCTCTTATTTGATCCTTGAAGACTGAGAAAAGCTGATATTAATTATTATCTTTTCATAAAGCTTATGTGTGATAAGTGTGAAGACCCTATTTACTTCCATACTAACCAATACAATTTGCTTTTAATAAATAATCAAGAACATCTACTCTGTAATTTACTATGTTCTTCATGATTTGGCTTTGGCACTGGGAAAATGTAGAGCTACATTAGTTCTCAATTTAAGTACTATAACTAAGTCATCCCAGCATCTTGGTATGATAGCTCTTTCTGATTTCTAAGGGGTTCTTTCTCACATGAAACAGCAGGTGGGTTTGAACCACTGACCTTTTGGTTAGCAGCCAAACACTGAACCAGTGTGCCACCAGCACTCCTTTATCCTGTTTAATTTTTTAATTTATTTTTACCCTTTTTCTTTAATTGCTGTTGTAGTAAGTCATCTAGAAGTTCTTTTTAGAATATGCTTTGCATATTTTAAATAATGATAAATCATGTAATAAGGAGCTCTGGTGGTGTGGTGCCTAAGGCATTTGACTGCTAACCAGAAGATTGATGGTTCAAACCCATGAGCCACTCTAAGGAAGGCAGACTGGGCAATCTACTTCCATAAAGATTTACCACCTCGGAAACCCAAAGGGGGTCACCATGAGTTGGAATTGATTCGATGTGAGTGAGTTTGGAGTTTTTTAAATAAAGTTTTAAAATAGGAAGTAAGTATACTTCGTAGTTTATATTGTCACTCCAGGTTGAAGCATTGCCTAAAGGCATTTCATTTGTGTCACCTAAAAAAATTAAGATACTTTAAGAAAAAATTGGGGTTCCGGCAAGATGGCGGACTAGGCAGAAGGATTGCACAGACCCTCTTCAACAAAGAAAAGGGAAACCAATTAACACAGACACAGAAGATAATCTTG